ATGAAGGCGCGTCAAGCCAACCCCGACCGGGACCGCCTTCCACCTGGAAACCAATGCCCTCACTGTGGAAGAAGATGCAGAGCAAGAATAGGGCTCCACAGCCACATACGGACCCACAAGGAAATCCATAATGGAAGACCATCTTACTCGTCCAACGAGGGATCGCCTAAAGTAAGTAACCCAGTTTACGACTTTTAAATCAAATTCTATTGTGTTTTAACTTTTGTCTTAAGTATTTTAATACATATGTTTTAATATATGCTTTTATGGTTGTGTTTTAGCTATGTTTTAGTGTGCGATTTTACAGATGTATTAAACTATGTTGTGCCTGCCTTGAGCCAAAAGGAGAGGCGAGTAATACATTATTATTATTATTATTATTATTATTATTATTATTATTATTATTATTATTATTATTGCCAGTACAGAAAGCAAATAGACTACATAATCAACAGCAAAGGATGGAGAAGTCCCATTCTCTTTGCAGAAAAGAAGATCAGGAGCAGGCTGTGGCACAGACCATGGACTGCTAACATAAAAAATGAGAGTAAAGTTAAAGAAGCCGAATACTAATCATGCCAAAATATAACGTATTTGAAATGTGCTGGAAATAATATGTTACAGATAACATTAAGTGTTAAAAGACAAATGAATAGGTCCTACAGCAAATCTAGGCTAAGCTCTCCATAGAGTCCAAGGTGACTAAACTGGGGCCGTTGTTATTTTGGAAATATTATGAAAGGACATGACTTTGATAGAAAAGATAATGATTGGTAAGATAAAACGCTATATGAAATGAGGAAGAGTCCATCACAGATGGATAGACACCCCCAAAGAAGCCACAGCCCTAAGCCTCATCCATGGTGGCATCATAGGTTAAAGTCTATTTGATGGCAATTCACAACAAAAAATTATACAACCTTGGGCTAAAAGTCATTATGATGTTTTTGCAAAAATACTACTACTACATTACATGAAGTGTTTCAGAACATTAATTTTTGTTCCCAGCTAAAAGCAGGAATATGTGTGAAACTGAATTAAATTCTAATTAAACCTGACTTCTCAAAGCTTTAAAACTTAGAATTAGTGTTGACTTTGATATTGAAGAAAACAATTTCAGGATAAATTCATTATAAATGCTTTACCTTTTAGGATTATTTTCAATCAAAAATTGTTTGTTTAACCATGGTGTATTTGTTAAAGTAGCCCAGGCATTTCAATACATTGACATCAACTTTATTTATAACCCATAATTAATTATCCATGTGTTTACCTCACAAATTCACTGATGTCATTTGTGAATAACATCAGAAGTAGTAATAATTCTAAGTTCTTTAATTTCAGTGATGAGTCAAAGCTGTTACAAAATTCATTCATATAACAACAGAAAAAGTAAGTTACAGCTACCAGTTCAACTATGTAGGCATGAAATATATTACGGTGTCTCATATATTACAGGCCCAACCTAAAGCAGAAGTACCTGAGACTAAGGGAGTATCTAGACAGCCCCTTCTACAATAAAAAGGGGGCTGTCCAGACAATGTTCTGGGCAATCCAGAATTAATTCACCACAAAACAGGAAAACCCTGGTTTGTAGCAAATTAATTTGATACTGGGTTTATTCCGCGCCTTCCTGGAAGGCGCAGGATGAACCCACTACTTCCAATGTCTGGACTGCAGAATAGTGCAGTGCAGACTATTCCTACAGTTTTCCAGGCTAAATTAACCTGGAAAGCTGTGGGAATCCCAACCCCCTCCCTAGAAGAAGGAAAAGAAGTTCTCTGGCACATACAAATGATGCATCAGGAGAAAGGGGGCGGGGGAGAGGAGGAAAACTCCATTAGCTTGTCCCATGGAGGCTGGATGTGTTCTATCCCCTTTTTATTGTGTTTGGGGGGGGGGGTGGCTTCTGGGGAGAAGGTTAAGTGTCCCAGTATTGTACTGGGAAGTCCCAGTACATCATCTGGACACCCACTCCAGAAAGCATGCATTTTCTGGGGTGAGTCTAGATGGGCCCCCAGGAACATCCATGTTTTTTAAATGCTGATGCTCCTAGGATAATGACCTGTATGGAAAGGCCCTAAAGGACTAAGGAAAACTGTGAGTGTATGGATACTATGAGAGCCTGTAGAATTGCTGCCCTAAAGGCACCAGATCGTTTCTGATCTTGAAAGTTAAGCAGAGTAATCTCTGGCTATTACTGGAATAAGAGACCATAAATGAATATAAAGGGCTGTAGGTTCCAGCATTTCAGAAGAAGAAACTGGCCAAAACTACCCTTGAATATTGCCCGAGAAAACCCTATCAAAATCATGGAGTTCACTATAAATAACAGGCAATATCAAGGCATATGCACACAGAGGGACTCTACTTTTGATGTGTAAGTTATTTCACATCAAATCTTTTGGAAGCTCAAGGTGACACAAAAGTATTTCCTGATATACTAGAATAACATGGGGAGCTTTCTGGAATTCTCTATGGAGGGTTCCAGCCTAGTGGTGCTGAATGGGATTACAGCCAAGTAGGCAATGGAAACTACACTGTTGGTGTGCTAAATCGAGGCAAAGGTAGTTTGTGTCCTAATCCCCTAGTCCCCACAAAATCGGAGGGTCTACTATATGCTCAAATAGATGCAAGAGTTGTGAAAGGAGTAAAATATATTGTTATTTATTTGCTCAATACAATTTTTAAAAGAGATTTTTTTGGATTACATTTGGGAATGGAAATAGGGAGGTATATGCGGACTGCCTTGTTCAGATTTACTTATTAAAAAGTTTTTAATTCTAGGACAAAGTATTTGGATGAAAGATAATTTCACACTTTCCCTCCTCTCCCCTAATAATTATCTTTTAAAAAAGGAAAGAAAGTAGCAAAATGTAATCACTGTGGATGAAGTTAAAACTGGAATAAATTATAGGAGTTTGTTTTCCTTGGTGGCTAAAATGCTCAGACTTTTTGACAAATGCATGCTATGATAAAGCTTTCAAATAAGAGATTAGTGTAAGTTACACACACACACACACATTAGCACTTTCAAAACTGTATCATGGATTTGGTGGAACACAATGGTAATTCCTTATAATGGCACAGATTTTCACAAAACAGCATTCTGCCTTACCATTCTATTGAAGACATGTGAAATATTGTTGGAAACCTCTTTTTCCTGATAGATATTGTTTCCTGTGTGATGGTAGCTACAGTACTGTCCCATTGACATTTGGGAATGCAAAGCTTTTAATGCACAAAGGGTAGCAGTACTTCAGCCAATCTGTGATAAAAGGGGGAAAATGAGATCACTATGGAAACGGCAGGGAGAATCTAAAAGGTTTCTTTATAAAGTAAACGTCTGATGTTTGTGACTGCGGGGGCAAGAAATTCATAAAACTGGATGATGCTATCATTTCTGATTTGTTATCACAGCAAATGCCAAGTGTAAGCAGTCTGACCAGGGCTTTATTAGGCACTTTCTTTTGCAAAGCTACTTACTATTCTGAGAGAGAGAAAGAGAGATAGATGGCAGTGCTGCAAGGGATATCTCATTTGTTTAATTTTTTCATCATACTTTTGTCTCTGTGTGTAATCACAGAAACCTCAGGGCTATGCAGTCAGAAACACTGTAAGTTTTCCAGAAATGCATTCACTCAGCAAGCTGAATACCCACTGAATGAGCAATGTTTCACCCCATTACAATTCTGCCTTTGATTTTATATTGAAAATGTGTGACCCTCTGCCTCCAATCCACACACAAATAAATGTGAAAGGGAAGAAATCTTCAGTTCACAGGGTGCTCAGGACCGAAAGAAATTGAAGGTGTTTGCTGATGTTGTGACAGCTCTCTTGCGAACCTGCCTGGACAAGAGACAGCTTCCTCGGATGAGTTTTCGGAAGACTGGAGTGTGCTGAGACAATGCAGCAGCATCCCTCGCCCTTCAAAGGCCACGTCATGCTGGCATTTAGGTTTTTTTAGTCCTTGCCACCAAAGCACTCACAGCAGTAGCGAGACTGACAGTCATGTATCTTATGAACATCCAGTTACTCTGAACACATCTGAAAGCTCAGGCAGAAAGAACATGATGGTAAGCAAATCATTATTGTACCATGAATTGCTTTTTATAAATTGAATTCATTTTCTTTTGTGTGATACACAAAACATGAATTGCAGTTTTAAATTTTTTACAATACAGGTGTGTATGTCATTTTTTTTTAGATCACCATACATTTTGTCAATACATTTTAAAAAAGAAATAGTGCATTTGAAAACTGGAGAATGAGGTCAGTGGGTGAATTTAGAGAACCTTTCAATGGGTTTAAGGTCTTGACTGTAGGCGGGTTTTGTCAACTCCAAATTAAACTATTTGATACTAAAACTATTTCACTTTTAAAAGAATAGTATTCCTGCTATGTAATTGTAAACACGTGGTGAAAGATGTGTAACTAAAATAAGCAAGTTGAAGTCCCACTGTTGAATTCTTTCTAAAAGGATAAGTCTTTGAAATTATAATTGAAGCGTGTTTATGAGTTGTAACTGGAACCCTATAATCAGACAGTATGTTATTGAAATTGACAGTGAAAACTTTCAGAAATGCAGAAGTAAGCCTTTGAGGCATAAATATACCTTTATAAAATGATATGTTGGACAAATTTATTTCATTGTTGCCTTTATTGAATACCATGAAAAGCAATTATCCATGGAGAAATTTGTCTTTCTGGAGTGAAATTAAATTGCTTTTTACTGACTTCCTTACACAGTTTTAACTTGGAAGAATGCCAGTAATATTTTAAGATGTGGCTTGAAATGACCTTACTACGTTGATATATCATGTTGTATTTAGACTTTTACCAGAGGTAGATGAAGAGGCTGACTATTCAGGGCAGGATGATGATATAACAGCAACTCTTGACTGTGTGTATTTTTTGTCTGTCAAGATACTCTACGCCTGGCATTTCCAGTCCAGTAACTTCAACAGAACAAAGCTCACAAGGCAGGTCAGAACTGACAATGAGACAACTTGATAGCTTTGGGAAAATCTGAATGGTAAGCAACACTTTTTTTCTTGTGAGTGAATAATCTTGACTGGTTGAGTGTATTGTAAGCAAGAGGCTAATTTCCATCAGTTGGAATGTTGGAAACACTTTTGGTCCTGGTTGGTGTGGAATGCAAAAGTGAAAACTAGGAAACTGATTGCATTTATCCACAAAAAAATGCCATCACAACACTTAGGTTCACAGTATTCTATGTAGATGCGTAAGACTTTAGTTATACATTTTTTCTATTATTTGAATTCTCTGTTTTAGCCTGAGTGAGTCATGTGACCAAAATAAAGCAAGCTCAGTGGACTGATTGATTTTGGCAGGATGTGGAAGAAGATGGTTATTTTGAATTTTGTTTAGGAAATAGTTCACATGTGTGATTGCTGAAGTTGTAATTTGCTATGCTTTGCTCTTAGTGGAGCTAACACTATGAGGAGCCAGCTTCAGTGAGACATATGATCAGATCATTTACCAATATTGTAATTTTCTTCTCTCAGTTGCAATATAAAAGGTGGCTGTGTTTGTTCTATTCCCTACCTATCAAACTGAACTTGTTTTCTAGGGCCTGAAAAATAAGGAGGGGCCATAACTACATTTCTGCATCATACCAACATTTCAAAGGCATTTGGAAGAATATTTTAAATGAAAATATACTTGCAGAATCAGAGCAGAAAAGAGTTTCAGGGAAGTGACTTGTGCCAGAACTTGTAATACTAGGTCTGTTGCCAATAAAATTCTGACACAGAAAACACATCTCAACTTTTCAAATTTTTCATCTCAGACTAATATTGTCGTTACTTAAATTTGATTTTAGGTGGTTTTTAAACAGGAGGTTTTTTTTTATTATGAAGCCTTTAAGTTGGCTCTGTTGATGATTTTCTCTGCAGCAAAGATCACAGTAGAGATAGAACATATATCTTGAAATCTAAGTACTAATTCTTTTACTATAAAATTTGTTCTTCCCACCACCACTCTCACTTTTTTAAACACCTCATTAATTCTGGAAGCTATTTGTTGCAGGAGAAGACACATTTGCATCTTTACTCATGAAAAAGGGCACAGTTTATATTCTACAGATTTACACACCGGGATGAAGGTTAATTAAGGCTATCATTGAAAAACATGCTCTGAGACCTTGTACAGCAAAATGTGAATGAAGCTCGTGTAATTCTAGGTAGTTCCTGTATGTGTTTGGTGTATATATTCTGCTAGATTGAAGATATCTTTTGCTAATTTATTAAAATTGTCCTTGAGGATATCAGTAAGTGTCTTTATGAGAAAGCCCGTCATATTATGATAGGAAGGAAATACTGTTATTGTATCCTCAGGTAATATTCTCTAGTTATTATGCACTAAAAATAGATACATTTATTTCCTCTTGTTTTCATATTTCTTCTGGGAAATATTATCCAAATCATTTGAAGGAAGTCATGCTGGTGGGTAAGATGTATGGAAAACAACCAGAACAAAACCTTGGCAATATCTAAAAATATTCTACCACTTTCTTTTTAGTCATAGCAGTTAGTCTCTTCTCTAACTTGAACTGGAAATTTGAAAACATCGAATATGGAGATGTAATGCATTCAGGTGCATGATGATATAAAAATGTACATCCCATACTTTTGGTTGAGCTGTTATTACTTATAATGGATTAATTGATTCTAAGTGTCTTTTGTCAGAATTAAGATCCCTAAAGCTAGTCTTATGTATGCTTAATGAATCTGATGAGGATTATTCCCAATAACTGTGCATAAGATTGTATGAGTAACTTATCCATTCAACAAACTGCAACAAAAGCTCAGCAAATTAGTGATCCTCCATGTTTGTGTCTGCATATCACATTATAGTATTTTAACAGGTTCTTACCATATCTGAATAATGTCAACCTTTATGCTATTTTAGTGGTACACAAGTGACCGTTCCAAGGGATATGAAAATATGTGTTGATTAAAGGCTTTCATGGCTGGAATAACTGGGCTGCTGTGATTTTTCTGGGCTGTATTCCTTATGTCCTCTATGTTCAAGAAGCAGTCTCTCCTGACATTTCCCCCACATCTATGACAGGCATCCTCGGAGGTTGTGAGGTCTGTTGCAAACTAGGCAAGTGAGATTTATATATCTGGGTATATAGCATGGACTCATAACATGGACTCACCATGCTATGAAAATATGTTGTTGGATTTGACAGTTTCAACAAAAGTAAATTTTTCACAACTTTCAAGACTCACCTTAAGATTTTGTACATATATGACAGTGAAAAGATAATGTATACAAAACAATGTCCACAGATTATCATGTGAATAGACAGAATATGCACAAATATAAAAATATGCATTAGAACACTTTAGTCACTGTGGTGTGTGTTAGTAAAATGCAAAAATAATGCACACATTAGGAAAAGGAAGGCAAAAGCACATAATATTTTTCAAAGTCATATGAAATAAGCATGGGGAAAATGAAGCTGGAACTGTAAAAAATGAGACACAAAGAATTTCCCACTTATTAAATGCCTATCTTTTCTGGTAGAACATTCAATTGAAGAATGGGTAACCACCTGATGCAAGGAGGAATTACAGATGTATTTATTTTACTTACAAGATTGATTTTACTTAAAAGAAACTGCAATATCACAGGTACCCTAGGAACAAAATATTCTTACCAGAATTTTCGGACTCACCATGCTAGTGGTTGTATTTTTTTCTAGGGTGGCAAAGGAAGGCGGACAAAATGCCAGTCCTAGAGAACCCATTTTTCCAATTCCTTATGTCCTCTATGGTCATGAACCAACAGCTTTTCCCCCTCTTTATACTAATCAGTAAAGTTATGGTAGCATAATTTCTTAATAGGATTCCAGCCCCTCATTTTTGTATGAAGTGAGTGTCCAGATGGACTTTTTCTGTAACTGAGCAGGGACTTGAACCCTAGTCTCCAGAATCATAGTCCAGCATGCAAATCACAACACCATGCTACTTCATCACACTAGAGAATGAATCCATTTTAAATCTGGTTTCTGCCTCCTGCAGAATTCTGGGGTTTGTAGTTTAGTGAGGCTGTTAAAGGCTCCTGTCTAAACTACAAACCCCAGAATTCTGTGGGAGGCAGCAACCAGATTCAAAGTGGATTCATTCTCTAGTGTGATGAGGTAACATGTGAGTTTTCATTCTGCTTGGCATTTTTTATTTTACCTTTACTTTAAAAGTATATTTACTTTAAATTGTTTGAAAAGCAAGTTGTGATGGTTTGCTATACTTTATACAATTGCCCAACCTTCAGACTGTTCCATTGACTAATCCGTTGAAAATGCATCCAGGTTCTCTGCATTCCATCTCTCATGCACATTTTGGAATAGCATTGAAATGTGGAGGAGAGGTTGGGTAATCTTTGACCAGCACTCTGAAAAGTGAAAGTCCCCAATATTTATCACTGCCCTGAATGGATGGAATCCCACTATAGGTATTCAATTCCCATGTCTCTATGTGATTGTTCAAAATAGTCTGTGAAATGCATAGTTTTATGTTTCTATGAAATATCCATCTTCTGTGCAAAGTGTTCACAGAAATAAAAGAAAACAGCCTATTCTTTCCACAGAGTGTAAGTTTCATAATCTAAATGATGGGATAGTCTTGTCAAATCTTAAAACAGCATTATTGATGCTTCATGTATTAGTGCTTGCCTTGCTATAGGTAGGTAGATAGATGAAGATAGAACAATATCTATAGTCCAAAATCTGTATACATACATCCATGTGGTTTTCTTGTTGGTGTATTTATTGTGAGCTATTCAAAAACATTTAATTATGGAGCAACATTAACAGTTATTAGTAAGTGAATAAACATAAATATAAAGTAAATTCTACCACTATTGCAAAAAGTGGGCAAAGTACAGGCAGTCCCCAAATTACAAACATCTGACTGACAAACAACTCATAGTTAAGAACAGGGGTGAGGCAACAGGAAGTGAGAGAAATCTACCCCTCAGAAGGGAAATTTACTCCTGGAAGCTTTCTCACCAATTTTTGTTTCCACAAGAAGCCACATTTTTTTAAAATCCAATTATCACAGGGACAGAAAATTAGGTGAAATCTTCTCAGCAGGGGCACAGGCAGCAAAACAAACACCACAGGTGTGTTTACCCCTCTGCTATCCAAAGCTAAATTAAATATATTTTTGGCTCGAGGTACACTTAAAAAAATGTACCTCTTCTGACTTACATACAAACTCAGCTTGAGAACACACCTATATAACCTATCTTGTTCATAACTTGGGATCTGTCTGTATATGTGGTGGAGGCTCCTTCTTTGGAGGCTTTTAAACAGAGGCTGGATGACAATTTGTCGGGGGTGATTTGAATGCGATTTTCCTGCTTCTTGGCAGGGGGTTGAACTGGATGACCCATGAGGTCTCTTCCAACTCAAAGATTATATGATTCTATGATTCTATAAGTCCAACCCCCTGGTGAAAATGCAAAGTGTAAACTAAAACTGAAGTCCTAAAAATTAAGATTGTATTGATGTTTCTCTTCCGACACTTCTTTTTCTTTCTTTGGTTAACTGCACACTACTGTTAATAGTGTGCAAAATAATGTTGGGGAAGTACCAATTATCGTGCCTAGAGTTACTAAGCTAAACAGAGGCTTAGATGTGGCAAACAGTCTTCTTTCACTGATGAAATGGACTGAGCAGATTTAAGAAATCACTGCCTTTTACATATGGGAAGCTGCAATGTTGCACATTTCTGCAGACACTAAACTTCACTGCTTTCAGAAAGGTGGAAGAAGTGTGATTAATAATTTCTACCATATATGGTTTGTATTATACATTTTAGAGAATTGATCATTATATTGGGACTTCACAGGAAAAATGAAGTGTTTAGTCTTAAATACCCACCTGTAACTCATGGTTTTCTGGGAATATTCTTTTAACTTTGAAGGTCATTTTATGGCATGTTCCTCTCTATAGATCACATATTAAATTACATTAAAGAGACAGTCATCTTTAGATGACATGGACATTTACATTATTTATCAATAAAACATTTCTTTTTATTTTGGCAACAAGCTCTGTTTGATTTCAACTTCAAATCAGGTGATATGTTTGCATATACTAGTTTTTGGAATGTATAATATGTTATGTCAAAAAGGGGGATGTATGATGCTTCAGAAATATAAATCCAAGATCCAATGCCTTAGCTTTAAACACAACAAAAGTCAAGAGAACACTAGGATTATACCAGCTTTGGCTGTTGCACATACCTGTCTGTGGATAACCTTAATCCCTAGAGCTATGTTCAAATATCAGTAGAACTTATTTGAAAGGAAAATTGAATGTGAAGTCCAGGATGCCAACCTGACATTTTCTGTGTAGAATCTACCCCTGCAGTGCTATATGCCTGGGTTCATGTTCCATAAAATGAATGGTTTCAGTTATGTTTATTTTGTATTTCAACTCAAATATTGTCTTTTATTTCAAGCTATAATAATTGCTTTAGAGGGTACCTTGAAAGTTTCAAGAGTACAGTGTACCTACCTGTCCTTCAAATGAGACAAAAAAGATATCTATTGTCCGGAATGTTCAAGGGCAAAACACGATATAAGACTGCATAGTAGCTCAAATATACAGTTCTCACCATTAGTAGAAATGTAAGTAATTAGTTATATAGGAACTTTCTCTCTTGTTATCTGTAGCATTTGAGATATAACTAGGTTGTGAATTTATAAAAAATATTTTGTGAGTGCACGCTAAAGAAATGATCGACCAGATCAAAGTTCAAAGAAACTATTTAGTATTGCAACAATGGCACCATTTGTGTAAGTTTTTTTTTTTTGGTAAAGATTTTGGGGGAAGAAGGATGGAAGAATAAAAGAGTTCTAGTTTGCATGCGATTTGATATATCCCCTAAAGAGTAAGATTGCTTATTAATTTCAGTGTACTACAACTGTGTTTAAAAAACCAAAAGGCAAATAGACATATTTTTCATTCTCTATAGAGTTGTTGCTACAACATAGCAATTTACCATCAACTATTCCTCCTCCCCCTAGCCTGCTTTCTGTGGGCTATACAGAAAACTGTGGGTGGTAGTAATATGAAAAGAAATGTGCCAGTAAATAAAGAGTTAAGAAAAGACAGAAAGAAAGGCAGGCTCAGTGGTTTGTTGAGATCTGTCAGAGCCTGAGTGGCTGGCTACATATCTGTCTCAGGAACAATAGGTACCTGTATTCTGCCCGGACTGTTGGGCAGGCATTCACAATCTGGAAAGGGTCTGCCTCTGTGAGAGGTTTCTCCCTGAGAATCCCTAATGACAGTCCCACTTTACGTGGGGGCTGGGTGGGTGGAAATCCCAACCCCTGCTTCCCGTGAGGGGGCAGAGCTTTGATCATTGCTATTCAGCCCTGACTTGGGTCTGAGACTGAGGTTCTCAGTCTAGAAGTCAGCAGGCTGCCTTTTCAGTTACTTCAGCAGAGGCACACACGCACACAGCACATGCTCTCTCTCTCTCTCATATGCATGTGCGCACTCATACACACACATCTCTCTTTGCCGGTCTGTGCAGGCAGCTTGGTGTCAGAGCTACAGCTGAGGCACAGTCCAATGAGCATAGCAGCAACCAGCCTTCATGGTGGGCAAGAGAAGCTGATGACAACAATGGAGAAGACTCGCTCTGGTGACAAGTTTAGGTAAGAGGGACTGTTAATTTTATCAAGTTTTCAAACATCTTCAGATTTGTCAGCTTTGAATGGTACTGTCTGAAATCTGAAAGTCTTTGCTGATTTCATATTGTACATCCTTTCTAGGTTAGCTTTTGAACATGTTCATTGCCTGAGCAAAAAAACAAAAAAACAAATGCATCTTTCTTTTTCAGGGATGGTTTACTCTTCTCTTTAGAAATGTATAAACTGATCCATCAGAAATGTATTACAGAGTGTTATTAGGAGCATTATTATTAATATTGAACTGCTCAGAAGATTCAATTGGAAAGTAGTTCATTTTATCTAGGGTGAATGTTATTTATTTGATGTGGATCAAAGGGAGAAAGTGCCACTTAGCACTAAACATATAATAAATAAAAACTGTGTTTTAGAGGCTCTAGTGTTTTATTCATTTTACAGTAATTTACTTTCAATGGTACTGTGAACCGCCCTGAGTCCTCTTCGGGGTTTAGAAGGGCGGTATACAAATACCACAAATAAATAATAATACTGTTTTAGGGATAAGAGCCTTTTTGATCTTTCCTAGATTAACTTTCTAGTGTGGGCAAAAACCTACAAAAACCTGATTTTTATGTTTTTTGGGACTTTGGGCTTTTCTCCTTAGAAATGTTAAGAGTCACTGTTCAAAAACAATTTGTGCAGTTTTCTTTGGGAAGGGGAGTTATGTTACATTGAGCAGGGTTTATTCATTATGGTTCCAGGAATAAAATGCTAACTTTGCATTGGGCATATATGAACAATATAAAACAATATGAAAATCCTGGTTTTGAATTATTTTTACACTCTTAACTGTACTGAGGTCAGCGGGTTTTAAAAATTAATGAGCTTCCCTGTGGAGTTCAAAAAGTCTAATCTACATGAATCAGTGGAACAGAAGATGCTATTATTCTAGGAATATTTTTAATATAGGTGTAACCTTGAAATGTTAATATACTGTTTTCATAATATGTTCTGTTAATCAGAGTCTTATGAGGTTTGTTCTGGGAAAAGGCAAATTATTTAAAGATAACAATGATAAAGTTGAATATTGGCACAGTTGTCATACAGCGCAACAAAGCTTATGGTCCATTTTTAAAAACTGCCCAAATATGTGAATTTAAGATATATTTTCTGTTGATTTATTAGGATTGTAAGTACAGGATATACTTATAGGATATAGTTCGGAACAGCCACAGATTGTCAAAAAGAAGGGCAATGAGTCAAACTTGTTGTTGAAACAAAAAAATTAAATCCCAGAGCTGAAGGGTGGGCAAGAAGACTAGGGAAACAAACTGAGATAGGAATTAAACAAATAAACAATAGTGCAGATGATGGTAAGCAGGATTAATGTATTCCTTGCCATCGTATCTTGGTCTCAAAATATGAATTTACAGTGTGGACCCCATATGAGAACAAAGACTAACTTTGCAGTGTGAACATTGTAGTTCTTTCTGTTTGTTAGAGCGTTTAAACTGAGAAGAGAGGAAGCCAGTGTTAAGCTTGAGTGTACAGTAATCGGTGCGAGAGCTGCATTTATTCAGTTACCCATTTATAAGACTCATTCTGGGCTTCCTGTGATATATTGTTATGTAAATCTGGTTCAGCAGGGGAAAGCACTGCTCAGAAGATTCAATTTGCTTGGAAAGTTGCTCATTTTATCTGGGGTGAATGTTATTTATTTGATGTGGTTCAAAGGCAAGAAATGACTTTTTCTTCTCGAAACCTATTGTGATGGTTAGTGAGTGATCTAATCTTTTTAATTTTGGCTTTCACACTAGACAAGACATGACTAAAGAGAAATCTCAGTTCCTTTAGTGATTATTAAGGCTTCTTGGTTGCTATGGCCAGCCTGACCTCTGTCTATGCCATTTTAGGAATGAAGGCAATTCTTCTTCACATTTAAGAGTATGCACCTTGATTTATGTCCAAAATTGTGACCAAATGTCTTTGTATCCATGTGATAAATGGTAGTATGCAATTAATCATTTCTTAGAGGTAAACAGTGCTGTCCCTCTCAAACTGTGTTTTGTTCTGAGTTAATGGTATGGAACAAGCCACTCATGGCAAACAGCTATCTATCATTTTAGAGAACCACTGAAACTTGGATCAAAGAGAAGGAAATTGGCATTCATTTTCTCTACCATTAGTCTTTCGTTTCTCCTATCTGAGATAAAATGGCATGCAGGTTGACAATATATTACTAGCATTCCATCCACACTATCTGAATGTATAATGGATCAATTCTTATTATTTCACAAGGCTGAAAAATGCTCCGTAGTGCTTTATCTGATTCTTTTCCCCTGCTACTCCATTATTACTGACTGTACAAAGATAAGTCATTTTGCTCTTCTGAAAGAAGTTCACTGTTTTACTCTCATGCAAGTTCCCCAAACTTAAATGCTATCAGATTTTGTTGCCACTGTTTAGCCAGCATGATACTTAATGGCACTTTGTATTTTCATGTATTAGATAATATTTCCTTCAGAGGCTACTGCGATTAAGATGAGCTTTTTGCTTTTTGCATAGAATGTTTATTAAGGAAGGGAACAGCAATATTTCTCCGCTACATGAAAATTACTGGTTTGACTTGTTGCTTGAATTTGATATGCCAGCCTAAAGTAACAATGATCTCAGACCAGCAGAGAAAATGATGAGTTCTTTAGCATTGCTGAAAAGCACAGTAAGACCTCACAGTTTCCCTTTAAGTACTGAATTTTAGTCCTCTATTGGCTAGCCAGAATTGTTCCTCTAAGAATTTACATATGTGGAATTATACCTGATGAATTGGTTTTCATTATCTCGATAACTTGATCAACCTAGCTCTTATATTAAAATATATTAAAAGAAATTGATTTATTTTAAAAATATCCACTTTATACATAAAAATGGAAGCGAACCTTCACTGTATTAGATCCAGATGTAGTTAAGTTTAGAGTAAGTGCATTAAATCAAATGGGACAACTCAGTTAAATTTCTGTTGGTACAATTATCTCTAGACAGAACACCACTGAGGAGTCCAAAGTAAATTATCCTTTGAATGCCATAATTTGAGTGGTAAAGTTAAACAGTGCTCAATTAAGTTTTATTTAAGGAGTTATTCTGCGAATTAATTGTTTGGCCTGTTTTCAGCATGTAATTTTTTTAATGGTTTAAGGAGCTTCAGAAGAATGTAGTACTTGGTTTTTGAGAGATTCAGAAGGTGTTGCCACTTTAAAGAAAGGAAAATTAGATTAAGTAGGTGCTGTTACCAAAATCAATTTTTAATAGCATAAATTTTGGAAACTGGATCTTTTGGATAATTTTTAGTACTGGAGGGATGGAAAGCCAAAACTGGCAGGTTGGTTAAGGCAAGTGCTATGCTGAATACTGCCCAAAGGGAAGACAATTGAAAAGTATTTCTCTTTCTTCTCTCTCTGATGTTCCTAAGTGGATTTAGACTAACACTATATGAATGCAACCCAAATCCCATGCAATTGAGGGCTGTTCAAATGAATCCAAGGAACATCCCTGGAGTGAATAAGTTTCAAGGTATACCACAGTCTTTCTTGACAGATTTTTGTAATGGTTTGGATTTGAATACAGTTCAAACTCCCGAAAACTAACCAAAAGTAATGGTAATAGAATCACAGAAGCTTTCAGTGTCCCATTTTTTAAACACATTCACATTACCGAAGCAACTGACTAAAACATTTATTGGCACGTTTATATTTACCTTCTAATTTAAGAATTGACTACATGTGGAAATCCAAGTGTCTTGTTAATTTTTAAGATGCATAATAATTTCCTATAAAATATATGATACAAATTGATTTTTATGTATATCACAAGCCCACAACATTTCTGTGTGCTAATAAATGAAAGAGAAACGTGCCATAATTGCATGCCATAGGGATGATGGACAGCACATTCAACCAAACTGTGTCTTCATATTTTAATTGTTCCCCCTTTCAATGGTGTGTGAGTAAACTACAATGGCATGAGCATAATTTCTAAGGCTTAATATACTTACTTAAAAAGATACAGTAATGGAATTATGTTGTCTTCTTTAACTGCTGCCAAATACAACAATATTGATTAACCAGCAGGAGATGCTGTTTAAGTGTTTCACTTGTCACCCTCCCATTGGAGTACATCCGTTTTGCTACTGACTTACTCATTTTCCACAAATCCATAGCAAGAGGCAAAGGGTTGATTTATTTGTGCTGGTTTCTTTACACTTAGGAAATCAGTGTTATTTGTTTGCTTGAATTTGCGTATTTGTGGTATCGTTTCTGCTTCAGAGATATAAACTAGTTAAAACGCAGGTGTAGTTTAAGCATGAGGACAATCAAAAGGAATATGAATATGTTTAAAGCCCCCCTACAGAAAATCAGGGCTATCTTATCTTAATCATTACTTCATGTGAATTTGTTTACAATATATGGACACTTTTATTTATTATGGAATTTTTGAGTACTGCACTACTTACATTTCACATCACATTAATAACACTGAATGTAGACATTGTTGTAGCAGAATGTTTTTTCAGAATAAGAAGTATACAAAATCTCACATGTGCACCCACACAGGGCAAAATTTGCATATGTTTTTCTCTATAAAATATATGTTTTTCTTTCTGTAGCCGTATGGTAAGAGCTGACAGTGGAATATATGGATTCCATGGGAAACTGGGACTTGCAGTTTCATGAGGGACTTAAGCACTCTGACAGATAGTTCTCAATGTCGCATGAAGCTAAAAATACCATGATTTCTTAGGATGCAGACCATAATGGTTAAAATGCTATAAAAGTGCCATAATTGTGTAACGTGTAAGAGATCAGAGTCTCTTTGAAGGTGGTGGACATACCATCACTGGAGGTTTTAAACAGACGCTGAATGCTCACCTTTCAGGATGCTTAGCAAATGATTCCTCCATAGACAAGGAATTAAGCTAATTGATCCTTGGGTCACCTTCCAACTCTATGGCTTCAATATATCCTTTTTTCCCC